GTGTAAAGTGTAAAGTGTGGAGTGTAAAGTGTAGTGTGTGGAGTGTGGAGTGGAGAGTGTCGAGTGTGGAATGTGGAGTGTAGAGTGTAAAGTGTAGAGTAGGAGTGGAAAGCGTGGAGTGTGGAGTGTAAAGTGTGGAGTGTGGTGGAGTGTGGAGTGTTGTGGAGTGTGGAGTGTGGAGTGTAGTGTGTGGAGTGAGGAGTGTGGAGTGTAAAGTGTGGAGTGTGCAATGGGTACAGTGTGGAGTGTGCAGTGTAGAGTGTGGAGTGTAAAGTGTAGAGTGTGGAGTGTGAAGTGTGGAGTGTAAAGTGTAGAGTGTGATGGAGTGTGGAGTGTAGAGTGTAAAATGTGGAGTGTAAAGTTTAAAGTGTGGGGTGTAGAGTGTAAAGTGTAAAGTGTGGACGGTAGAGTGTGAAGTGTCGAGTGTAAAGTGTAGAGTGTGGAGTGTAAAGTGTGGAGTGTGGAGTGTAAAGTGTGGAGTGAGGAGTGTAAAGTGCAAAGTGCAAAGTGTGCAGTGTGGTGTGTGGAGTGTAAAATGTAGATTGTGGAGTGTGGGGTGGAAAGTGTCGAGTGTGGAGTGTACAGTTTAGAGTGTAAAGTGTAGAGTGTGGAGTGTGGAGTGTAAAGTGTGGAGTGTGCAGTGGGTAAAGTGTGGAGTGTTGCAGGTGGTGGTGACTTCGTTGTGCTGGTGATGTTGTTGTGCTGGTGTTGTTGTTGTGCTGGTGATTTCTTTGTGGTGCTGGTGGTTTCGTTGTGCTAGTGATTTCGTTTGTGCTGGTGATCTTGTTGCGCTGGTGCTGTTCGCTGGTGATTTGTTGTGCTGGTGCTTTCGTTGCGCTGGTGATGTTGTTGTGGTGGTGCAATTTCGTTGTACTGATGATTTCGTTGTGCTGGTGATTTTGTTGCGCTGGTGGTGTTCGCTGGTGCGTTCGTTGTGCTGGTGATTTCGTTGCGCTGGTGATGTTGTTGTGCTGGTGATTTTGTTGCGCTGGTGATTTCGTTGTGATTTCATTGCGCTGGTGATGGTGATGTTGTTTTGCTGGTGGTGATTTCGTTTTGCTGGTGGTGATGTTGTTGTGCTGGTTCGTTGTCTCTTTGTGAACTGTTGATCAGGTGCCTTCGCTGAGACGATATGCGCGCACGATGCATGAAAAAAAAGTTTCGTTTTCCTATTGCAAAGGCTTTCACTCGTAGTCCAAGAACGTGAATACATTCGGGTTCGTGGCTTCCATCTTGTTTTTGACCTGGTTTTCTATGGTTTCTATGTTTCTATGAAAACCATGTTCACCAGGTTTATACGTGTTTTTCTGCGCAAACCATAGAAAAAAAAACAACGCAAAAAACAACATAGAAGTGATGCCACTGGTGAAAATATAGATACTGTTCAAATACCATAATCCCTGGTAGCAACCACTTTAAAACAATAGATATGCCTACCACAAACCCTAGTATCATCAATTCAAAAAAAAACATGAAAATAAAACTAAATGCAGGAAATGCACGTAACGTAAACCCTACTCAGATTCAAAAACAACTATACATATATCTTCCATGACCCCCACTCACTGACTACCATTGAACAAACATGTATAAATATATCACAACATGTACAATATTGGTGATCATTATCAACTTGGCTAAGATTGGGCAGCACCATCTGAATTCTACCGGTTCATACGGGTTTATTGGGCCTGCAGTTCAGACCTGCCAATACATTTTTGCCACGGAACTTGGGTGAAACTGAAACCATGAATTGTCCATGCATTTTGTCCAGCAAGCGCCATGAACTGTCAAGTTGGAAACAGACTGACCGACACAGTTTCGTGGGACATTTGAAGTTTTATCTTAAAAATAAATGGATTGGTTTAAGGGAAAAATTACAGGAACACCCTGTATTGAACGGGAAAATATGTGGTTTTCCGTAGATTTTCCCTTAAACCAATCCACTGAATACAGTAAATCAGCGAACATTTTTTCAGAAATTCACACATGAATTCGTGGTTTCATGGTTGAACCTTGTTTGCCGTAAAAACAGGCAGGATTTTCAAAGATCAAATATGTGTAAATGGATTATATCCACATTACGTGCCATGAATATATACACACACATAAATATAAAAATATTTATATGTAGATATATTCATGGAAAACTGAACTCACCCCCTTCCCACCTACACCAAAAAACCACACAAATATACCTTTGATCTGTCTAGTTGTGTTCCCAATTCTGGTTGTATCAGTTAGACGTGTACATGGTGCTATGTTTAAGGTGGTCGGTCCAGAAGACCGTATTTTCTCAGTCAGTTTGGCTGACCCCCTTCATCATTAAGGGCTCATAACCACTCATAAGGGGTACCGCGGGGTAGTAGCACAGGACTGCTGTGGTTGTGAAGATTTATGAAGACTTATGAGTTGGAAAAACTTGTCGTTTCATTGGAAAAGTTTGTTTTTTTCATTGTGTTGAAATCCCAAAAAATGTTGAAGAGCAGTTATGCAAGGTTATGAAGGGTCATGAAGGGTTATGAAAGGCACTGAACGGTTATGAGGTGCTATGAGTGTAACAGTTTTTCACAGCATTTCAGCCTAAGTTGAAGGGGGTATGTCCCAAGGGGATCGGCCCAACTCCCTCTGATATATACTATATAGATAAACACAACAGAGATGTAGAGATATAGATATCGGAAGTCTGTATGCACATGTTCTCTCAGGAACGCTGCTTCTGAGAAGATGTATCTCGTTCATGGGAGTTTTGTTATTTTTGTTGATTTTTCATGTTTTAATTGAAAACTGCTGAGGGAACAACATGCCATGGAGAGGGAAGAACCATGTGAGAACAAACATTGGAAAATACATTGGTATTAGTGAAATTTAAACCAGCAAAAATACATGTATGAGAACTAATTACATACATATATACACGATGATAAATGAAAAAATAAAATAACTATATATATATATATATATGTAAATCCATGGTATATAAAGAATATATATATAAATACATATACACATAAACAATATATATATATGAGTCAAAACAAATATTATGAGCTATTATGTATATCATTTAGGAAAAATAAGGTTTGAATAAGTTATGCCCCAAAGTTACCATCCGAATTCCCCACGAAAACAACAACGGAGACCAAAAAACAATCCACCAAGAAACTATTTTAGGACCCAACAGGATCCACCAATTCACGATATTGTCTTGCAATGTTGATGACACCTTGGATTTTGCAACTATTTTGGCTGATTCCTGCCCTAATCCTGGCGTATTCCTACCGTATTCCCGGCTCATTCCTGCCTTATTTCTTCCAACTTTGATGAAACCTTGGATTTTGCAACTATTTATGAGAGGGCTTGATCCAGTTGTCTCCCTCATTGCCATCTTGTTGGAAAATAATGGTGAAATAACACTGGAATAAACATATCTTCTTATTCCCTTCTTATTCATGTAATTTTTGTGTTTTCAAAATAGTACCCTATTAAGACCTTAATAAGCCGCTAATAAGGCCTTAAATATAATTCGGGGGTGGGTAAGGATTGGTTGGTTAGTGAATCCCATGAATATATATAGAAATGAAATATACTAAATTCTAAACCATATATATATACATATGATATAGAAGTATCATATCGATAGATAAATGATATGAAAACTAAAAAATATGAATCGTATCTAATTTCTAAATATGCATATATAGATATCTATATATATGTATATACATACATAATATGCATAAAATCCTATCTGTATAAATATGATGCATATGTGATAAAAATATATGTATGTAAACGTATGATATGTAAAGTGTGTGTTTTTGAAAAACATATACACATAATATGAAAAATATGTAGATACAAAATGATACACATATATTAATTACATACATATGGCGTTTGATTTATATCCCTTTACCTGCAAACCGCCATTCTTCGCGAAAAAAACAAACTTCGCGAATCTTTCGTGAATCCCTCGTTTATCTTTCGCGGGGGTCTCATGTGAACATATTTTGTTCAATATTTTGCAAAAAATACTTTCGCGAACTCAGCAGAAAACTTTCGCAGGGTCTCCTGTTGGAACCCTGGCGGCCTTTGTAACGGACATGGACCTTTAGATCGACAATCATATAGACATGTCATACACACATGGACGTAATGGATCCAGTGACAATCCAACTGGCGACTGGCTGCTGTGCCATGGCCGCGCGGGCATGTTCTCAGTGCCTAGTAAGCCTTGTAGAATAGAGGGGCCATTTCGGCCCTAACCATCAAACATGTGAGAAGCAAAAAATGGTGACTTATAGCTGGCTCATGATACCCGAGCTGGATGGATGGGTGAGTGGCCCGCGGGCACTGTGGCAAGGTCAAGTGGTCCCTCCTGCCACAGAGGTTGGAGTTCAAGGCCCCCAGACTGCAAGCAGCAAGGAACTCACCAATGCCCGGACAGGTAGTGTTATATAATGACATGTGTATGTATCGCGTGAATGCAAATGTATTGTCAATGTACTGTAAATGTGAATGTCCTGTAAATGAAATGTTGACATGTAAATGCAATGTAAATGTAAATGTGATGTTGATGTAGTGCGAAAATGACAGCAACTGTAAATGCAATGTGTGTATAGCATAGTATAAACTAGTCTAGCCTAGTATGATACTGTATGTTCTGTATGTACCGTATGTGCCTGTATTTACTGTATGTACTGTATGTATGTATATCATGTTATATCTTGATACCATGGCACATATACGCATGGGTAAAATCTTAGTACCATATTTGGGGGGATGAACGACCATTTACCAGCTTTTTTGAGTTCACCAGGTCACCTTGTGACATGAGGTCGGTAAAAGTTATCCGTATGTGTACGTATATGTTTGTGTAAAACAACTATACTATATGAGGTAAATGGATAACATGAGAATAAATGAGGGAATGAGGGAATATCCCATGCTTGGTGCGTTCTCCTTCCTGCAGAAGGCAAGCTGCTCAAATGACTTGGTCACTGGTACTGTAGCTGATACTGCTGCGATTGGCCTGGCTGTGCATTGAAGTCACCTTGGGAGGGTCCCGTGTGAGCACAGGAAGTTCTTCCACGGGTTCGCAGATAGGCCTGGCCAGAGTTGACCAACACATAAACCCTGGCAGTGAGAAGACATGCGAACTGTATGTATGAAGGCATATATATATAAAGGTGTGTGTGTGTGATTTTTGTGTGCATGTTTTTTTTGCATGTGCATATTATATAAATAAATATACATAGAATACATTACAGTAAAATAAATGTAAATCAGTGCATGAATATGAATATAGCTATAAACAAATGTATACACACATGTGTGTTTGTGTGATTGGATGCACACACACATGCATTCATGCATGGATGCTTGTCATGCCAAGTAACAAAATTTCATGTCACCGCATCCACTGCAATCACGTGTAATTTGATTCAGTGTAATACAATCCAATATGATGCAAGTCTTATGCCTGTGACTGTATTAAAGTCATTGTATGCATGTGATCAAATGATATGATGTGTGGATGCATGCCTGAATGCGTGAATTAAAAGATGTGCCTATATGTACATGTATATATATATATATAATTATATATACACATATGGGTATAAGGTGTTTCAACGCCCCCACCCAGTGTTTTGAAGTATTCTATATCTGCACGTTTCAGAGTTGTTGTGCAGGTTTCAAAGATGTTGTGCACGTTTCAGAGATGTTGTGCACGTGTCAGAGATGTTGTGCACGTTTCCCAGCAGTTGCGCGCGTTTCACAGAAGTTGCGCACGTGTTCCAGAAGTTGTGCACGTTTCACAGGCCCCCTAATAACGTTCGTGTTCAACTGTATGAACACTGAGCGCATTCTAATCAGCAAAAACATTGGGGCGACCAAACACGCTCTTCCGAGATATATATATATATATATACACATATACGCATACATACATATGCACACGCACACAAGTACTTTGTATATTGTGTGTGTAACACATGTAAATATATAGGATTGTTCAAAGTCATGGTCCCTCAAAACCGCCCTTTCGCTGCCCTTTCGCGAACCATTCGCACCCTTTTTGCAGCCCCGCAAAACCGGGACAGGGAAGTGTTATCATGTTGTCGTGTGCATATTTCGTACTGAAGGTTTACATGAAGATTGCGTTGGAAACATCGCTTTTAATTCTAACGAGGACATGGAAGCATTCGCCGAAGTCGTTTTACAGATTGCCCGACAACAGAAACACAAGTTGTAGACTTTCGAGTGGCTATGTTTTAAGGAGGCCACAAGTGTTTGGGCCTACCTTTTGAAAATCGGCCGGGTGGTACATGAAAAAACGCTTTGAAAAGTGTCTCAACTACTTCTTGTGGTGCTAATTCCTGAAACATAAAAAACTTTGGATTGCACTATTTTTAGGCATCATAACTTGGGGACTATGAACATTTACATATTTCTTGTGCAGAGGAGCACTGCAAAAATGGGGGTGTTTACCCCCAGGGGTCACCCGCGGTCCGCTTTCATCTCAACCACGATTTGATTGGTCACATTGTCCAGCTTGATTTCACACATGTGAAGATCAGTTAAGGTTCACATTTTTGCCGAACTTAACCAATTTTTGACCAACCTGACCAACTTTTGAGCAACTTGACCAATTTTTCACTAGCATGACCAAGTTGGTCAATTTCTGACCAACTTGACCAACTCTTGACCTACTTCACCAAGTTGGTCATTTTTGACCAACTTGACCAACTTTTGACCAACTTGACCAAGTTGGTCAATTTCTGACCAACTTGACCAAGTTGGTCAATTTTGACCAACTTTTGACCAACTTGACCAACCTTTGACCAACTTGACCAAGTTGGGGCAATTTTGTGACCAACTTGACCAATTAATGAACAATTTGACCAACTTGACCAATTAATGAACAATTTGACCAAGCTGTTCAAATTTTGAGCAACTTGACGACTTTTGACCAAGTTGGTCATTTTTGATCAACTTGACCAACTTTTGACCAACTTGATCGAATTGGACATTTTTGACCAACTTGACCAAGTTGGTCATTTTTTACCAACTTGACCAAATTTTGACCAACTTGACCAACTTTTGACCAACTTGACCAACTTTTGACCAACTTGGCAAACTTTTGACCAAGTTGGTGATTTTTCACGAACTTGACAAACTTTTGACCAAGTTGGTAATTTTTGACCAACTTGGTCAATTTTTGGCAAAGTTAGTGATTTTTGACCAACTTTGCCAATTTTTGACAAAGTTGGTGATTTTTGACCAACTTGGTTAATTTTTGGCTAAGTTGGTGATTTTTGACCAACTTAGTCAATTTTTGACAAAGTTTGTCATATTTGACCAATTTGACCAGATTGACTAACTTTTGACCAAGTTGGTCATTTTTGACCAACTTGACCAATTTTTGACCATCTTTACCAACTTTACGAACTTTTGACCAGCTTGACCAACTTTTGACCAACTTGACCAACTTTTGGCCAACTTTACCAACTTTACCAAGTTTTGACCAACTTTACCAACTTTTGACCAACTTTTGACAAACCTGACCAACTTGAACAACTTGACCAACTTAAGGGCACAAGAAGTGTTTGCAGCCAAATTTAGACCATTCAAAAGTGTTTTTCGTGGTAAAATTTTCAAAATTTACCACGAAAAACACTTCTGAATGGTCTAAATTTGATACTATCTGGAGAGAAAGTTGTGTAAACACTGATGTGATTCACATCAGGATACATTAGGGCCACATATATATAGCTTTGCTGGAAAAAAACAGCAGGGTGGCCCTAAAAACAAGGAGACACGGGCTGGTGTCACAGTGGCTAGCCAAACGCCAGCGAGCAAAAAAAGGGCCGGCAACTGGCTGCACTGCCTGAACATGTGCCAGGAATGCAAACAGGCGGCTCATTAGCCCCAACATCGCCCTTCAGCGAGATTCACTTCGTGAATCAAAGGGGAGCAAGAAAAGGCACCAGGGGCTCAGCTCAGCGGGTTGTGGAGGAAGTGAAAGTGCAGGGAGCATTCAGCAAATGGGGCGGAGGCTAAGGCAGGCTAAGGCGATTCCAAAGAAACTGTTGGAGAAATGGCGTCTCCAGCTCTTCGAAGGACCGCTCGAGCGTTCTCCCGCTGCAAAGTCAAAGCCAGGGTTTGTTGCAGCCGCTCCGTCAAAACGGAGACAGACTCACCAGTGCGACCAGCGACGGCACGCGCGAGGAGTTTCCAAGTCGAAGTGGCTGCAGGTGCCCAACCGCCAGCGCATGCTTCAGCGACAAGAGGGACAAACTGCAACCCTTCAGCGGTGCACGTGGCTTCGGTGTTGTGGTGGGAACGCTTGCGAGCTTCGTAGTCTGCCGCCGACCGGCTGCCATCTTGAGCAGAGCCAGCGACCGCCCCGACGCGCAGCCCCGACGTGACTGCCAGGTCGAAAGCCGCTGCACCATGAAGGCCCCAGTGCGGGACGTAAACATCTGCTGGGCGTCGACCAGGCCCTTGCCGCACGCCATCTTCTGAGGCCCCACCATGTTCAAGCCTGGGCGGGAGCAACCCGGGTTTTTCAAGTTCAGGGTGGAGGCCAGCCGCTGATGCCCAGGTCGCGACGATGGTGCGGAGACGATTGTGCCGCTTCGTCCTGTCGCCACCACAAGGGCAGGCCCGAGAGTGGTCTCCGTAGGTATCACACACCCCGTCACAAAAACGGCAAGGCACATCTTCAGAATGGAGAGGAAGGCGAAGACGAAGGCGAACCATGACGCGGAAGAGGACGCTGTCAACATGGAGGCCAAGGGCAGCACTTGGCAGGGCCTGCAGCCAAGCACCTGCTCCAGGTTCTTGAAGAAGTTGGAGATGCGCTCTAAAAGCTTCATGGCCGGGCCCAGAGAAGGCCGAGGCAAGCTGGGCGGCCGTGCTTCTATCCACTGCCCAAGACAAATCTTGTTGTCGAAGGGAATGCGGCGGTGGGAGAGCAACATGGTCGGCAGCGAGCAGCGACTCGTTGAGGTTGGCAATGATGGCGTCCATGCTGGGGTTGTAGGTTGGCAGCAGCAAGGAGCAAATCGGAGAAGTGGCCAGAACAGAAGCCGTATAGGCAGCTCCACTGTGACGGAAAATGCTGCGAAGGCCAAGGCCGCCAGACTTGGTGGACAAGGTGGCCTGGAGGCATGCCCCCGGCGTAAGTGCTCCCGTGCAACAAGATTCCAAGCATTGAAGAACTGCCAGGTCGTACGACTTCAATGCATCCTGATGGAACGGGGGTGGGGTGACCCGACTGGAGTATACAAGCTTTGACCAGGAGGCGCAATGACGGAGCAGCATGAGGGCTGTCTGGCTGTCGGGCAGCTGGCCCAGAGCTTGAAGGAGAGGTTCCGTTTGCATCGCACGCTGCTTGGTGTGCTGGTGGCAAAAGCTGGGGCTGCCGAGGGCAGAGCCAAGCAGAACGAACTCCCCGGAATGGTTGATGCGCAAGCCAGGGGGGAAAAGGCTGCTGTCCAAGTTCGTGTTGGGACCCCCGAGCGTGGTGAGCTCACACTTGCCCACGTTCAGGTGGAGCCCGACCTGGCGGGCAGCATTCACGAGACGGCCTAAAGCTGCGCTGACGGCGGTGTAGTCGCCGGCTAAGCAGGCATCATCCAAGTAGGCGAAGCAAAGGTCCAGTTGCGACCGGCCAGCGGCACACAGGGAGGGTTGAAGAGCCAAGGCGAAAAGGAGTGGCCCCAAAGGGTCTCCCTGCTGCACCCCTGCTTCGGATGTCAAGGCTTCACCTTGAAAGAGAAGCTTGGTGTGATGGCTGTAGCACCACTCTGCCCAAGGGGCCATGGCGGGAAGGCGCAGCCGCACCTCCCGCAAAACAGTTGCCCGATCAACGGTGTTGAAAGCGTTGACGAAGTCCAGCTTGAGGAAAACCTTGTCGGGATTGTTGCGGCGCGCATGGACCCAGTGCCGGGATGAATGCACGGCCGCTTCAGCACCCAGGGGAACAGCCACACCAACCTGCAGGGGTGAAAGCCACTCACGGGCTTCGGATTTGACATGGGAGCAGAGGCACTTGGCAACCAAGCGCCGCAAAGTTTCACCAACTGCAATTGGCCGCACA